CCAAAGTCCTATACAACTGTAACATGACCTGCCAACTCTTGTACTCAGCACCCCGTCCGATGAATGAAAGCATGCCGTATGCCTTCTTGACCACTCTATCCACCCGCGTTGCCACCTTTAGGGTACAATGGACCTGCATACCCAGATCTCTGTGTATCAGTTTTCCCCAGGGCTTTTCCATTTACCACATAGTTTGCTCTTGAATTGGATCTTACAAAATGCATCACCTTGCATTTGCCTGGATTGAACTCTATCTGCCATTTCTCCACCCAACTCTCCAATCTATCTATATTCTGCTGCATTCTCTGACAGTCCCCTTCACTATCTGCTACTCCACCAATCTTAGTGTCATCTGCAAGCTTGCTAATCAGACCATCTATACCTTCCTCCAGATCATTTATGTATATCACAAACAACAGTGGTCCCAACACGGATCCCTGTGGAACACCACTGGTCACAGTGCTCCATTTTGAGAAACTCCCTTCCATTACAACTCTCTGTCTTCTGTCCCCCAGCCTAGGCAATGGCCTAGTGGTATTATCACTGGACTGTTAATCCAGAGACCCAGATAATGTTTTGGGGACCCGGGTTCGAGTCCCACCACGGCAGATGGTGGAATTTGAATTCAGTGAATATCTGGAATTAAGGGCCTAATGATGACCATGAATCCATTGTTGATTGTTGGAAAAACCCATCTGGTTCACTAATGTCCTTTAGGAAGGAAACTGCCATCCTGCCTGATCTGGCCTACATGTGACTCCAGACCCACAGCAATGTGGTTGACTCTTAACTGCCCTCTGGGCAATTAGGCATGGGCAATAAATGCTGCCTGGCAGCAGCGCCCTCATCCTGTGAATGAATAAAAAATGTGTTTGGATCTAGTGACCCTTAGTTCTAAAAAAATTAGGTTCTAGAACTTGAAACGTTAACACTGCTTTCTCTCCACAGATGCTGCCAGACCTGCTGAGTTTTTCCAGCAATTTCTGATTTTTTTTTTTCTGATTTCCAGCATCTGCAGTTCTTTGTTTTTTTTTGTTTTCCGTTTGAAACTTGCTTTCATTTTATTTATAGTCTCCTGTTATTAGGTAATCATTTAAGCAAACCTCTGTCCAGCGCAGATATTTTTGTTTACCTTGGGAGTGTGTCATGTTTTCATTGCATATAAAAAGTGATGTGTAAATGTGTAGCTTTAATTAGCTTGGTTGTTCATGTGTAATTTTGATATTGCCTTCAGAATGATCTCATTTGGTTTTTAAGATATTCCCCACTTAGAATACAGCTTGGAGGTTTAAGACAAAGAAGGGCCCACAAGCACTTTTCTCCCAGTTTACTACCAATCTTCGTTTCAGTTCAAAGACATTTTATCACCAGGTCTTTCACAGGGAAATTAGAATCAAAAATTGGCAGGCAAAGATATAATAGAACAATATGACACAGGCATCCATCTGCTTTGGAAGATGACAGACTGTGCCATGGTGTCTGTCACTTCTGGATTGAATGTCCCCATTATGGGTTGAAGGCTGACCCATGAAGGGAGTCCCTTGGGTTAACTGATTTTTTTTTAAACTTTTCATTGGGCTCTCTTTTCCACCATCTGGTTATTTGTCCTCTACTGTTTCTGTGTCGTCTCTAACTGCTTATCTCCAGGCACTTGGCCAGCAGCGGGTCCTTCCCATGCATCAATTCCAGGCAACTTGGTCTTCTTTACAGACATTCTTGTATCTCAGATGTGGGTAACTCGTTCTCACGCCAATAGCCAACTCAAAAGATGGAACCAGTTTGAGAATGTGACAGTCATCCATTTGATTCACATGACCTTGCAAATGGAATTGGTGAGTTCTTCCCACCCCCAACCTTTTCTTCTGAGGAAGGATCACTGGACCCAAAATGTTAATTCTGCTTTCTGTCCACAGATGCTGTCAGACCTGCTGAGTTTTTTTTTGAAAAATTTCAGTTTTTGATTCTGATTTGCAACATCCAGTTTTTTTTTGTATTTTGTAAACTGTAATCCCTGCCTTGATTTACATGTGCTGACAGTGCGAGAATGTTTCAGAATCACTGTAGTAAAGGATACAATTCTGAAAGGGGTAGAGGTGCACAAATTTTTCAATATGGCAGAGCAGTTTCAGACTGTGATCAAAAAGAAATATAGTGTTCTAGCTTATAAATAGAAGAATAGAGCACAAAAGAAAATTATAGTGACCATAAGATGTAGGAGCAGACGTAGGCCATTCAGCCCATCGAGCCAGCTGTGCCAATCAGTGAGATCATGGCTGATCAGAGAATCAGCAACTGCACCTTCCTGCTTCTCCCCTATTACCTTTGATTCCATTACTCATTAAAAATCTCCCTATCTCAGCCCTGAACATAATTAATGATCCAGCCTTGACGGCCCTTTGTGGTAAACAATTCCACAAATTCCCACTCTGAGCCAAGAAATTCTCCTTATCTCTGTCTTAAGTGTGCAAACCCTAGTTCAAGATTATGCCCTCTGGACCTGAACTCTTCCACAAGTGGAAACAAGTTTTCGGCATCTACCCTGTCAAGTCCTCAAGAATCTTGTATGTTTCTATACAATCGCCTCTCATTCTTCTATATTCCAATGAGTACAGGTCCAATGAACTCAACCTCTCATGAGACAGTCTTTCCATATCTGGGGTCAGCCTAATGAACCTTCTCTGAACTACCTCCCATGCATTATGTCCTTCCTTGAATAAGGGACTCAAGTAAAACATCTGTTCTACTTCAACAACGCTATTATGTTCAGTTTTGGATATCACACTTTAGGATGGATGTGAAGACTTTAGAGGGGTGCAGAAAAGACTTACAATTATGATTCCACGAACGAATAGCTTCAGACACATGGTTACATTGGAGTTGCTGGGCATGTTCTGTAAGATGAGAGGAGAATCGATAGTGGTGTTCAATTTCATGAGAAATCTAGACAGTTATTACAAAGTGTTGGAAGTATCAAGAAAAGGAAGGAGAGGTGATTCACAAAAAAATAGACTTTGACATGAGGAAAGTCTTTCTTAATCAGTAAAGGTTGAGATCTAATGTACAATGTATCTTGGAACAGATGCTCTGAGACACTGGGTACTGGTTTCTTCTCAATCCTAGCTTATCTTTTTCCCTCACAAAGTCATGTCACAGTATCTGCCAATTGAAGAGACACAATTGAATATTTTTCATACAATTAACTTATATACAATTTGCAAATTTTAAGCCTTATTAACTATACAAATATTTATGTCTATTAGGTGAACTATAACAACAGAAAATCTGAAAGTCTCAAATCTTTGTTGTATTACCATTTATGTTTTTTGAAGACTTTCAGATTTTCTTTGTGTATAAAGCTTCCTACTACCCCAACTTGAGCTTAACCACCACATTTTCCCTCCTTTACTCAAGGCAAGGACTCATGCTGGAATCTCCTCCATCAACACTGACAGTTCTCTGAATGACTTTACCTTGGCTAAGTTTCCATCTCCCTAACTTCAGTGTCCCATCAAAAATAGATCAAATTCTAACTGATTTGCTTTGAATAGCATTTTGCCACCTTGTGCAGTACATGTGCCCAATGAGCAAGTTAGTGTATTTTAATCTTCTGTACCAGAAAAGAAAATGACTAAATGAGAAATTATCTACAGAATAATTCAAAATGTGTTAAAGGATGTCTTTGTTTTGGATTGTGATATCTGGTCATGACAAACGCAGCTGCTTCTTTTGAGTCAAGTGCTTCTTTAAATAGTTACTTTTCATTCTTGTTTAAATTGTTAAAAAAATTTGTTTTGATTTTTGGTGCAGGTGATGGTGCCAATGATGTCAGTATGATTCAGGTGGCTGATGTAGGAATAGGAATTTCTGGTCAGGAAGGGATGCAGGTAAAGCTCTAATGGTGCATATCTCTATATAGTTGAAAGTAAATATACATGTACTTCAAGGATACTTTACACGTTCAACTTAGTGCTGGTTTTAATTGTACTCGTAAGTATATACGTATGAATTCTAAATAGTGTAACTGTATCTCATTACAAAGTACTGTCTACTTGCTTGGATGAATACAACTCCAACATCCCTTAAAATGCATGGCACCATCCATCACCTTCAGCATTCACTGCCTTGACCAACAGCACACAATAACAGTGTGTACCATTTATAGCATGTACCTGCAGTAACTTGTCTCATTAACCACCTCTTACAGTATCTTCCAAACCTGTGACAAAAAAAGATTTAAAAAACAGCAAATGCATGAAGATACCACCACCTGCAAGTTGCTGTCCAAGCCACATGCCATTCTGGCTTGGAACGGTATCACCAATCTTTCATTGGTGTTGCGTCAAAATCCTGGAACTATTTCCCTAACAGCTCTCTCCATTTTTCTTTAAATGAAATTTGACAAACCCCTCCCCCAATAAGCTCAAGTCAAACACTTGACAATTGTAAGATTAGCCAGTAGGTTTTAGTGTTTTTACGATTCATGTAAAAGTTGATATTTCTTCGGCTTTCTGCTTACTTCTGGTAGGGTTGTCACTTCAATTGTATTACAACAGTCCTACAGTTTACAAGTATTACATTCAGGATACTCGGATGTCTTTCTTAAGCGCGGTCACCTCTCGTTGGAATCTAGTCTGGTTTTAATAATTTTTAAATTTGGAGTTTTATATCTAAAACCTTTCTTACAGTCACGTGACTTGGCAATCCCAAAAGTTCAGCTTATTCTTTGTGGTCCTTCTGTTAACTCTTCTGCCCAGCACGCAGTACAAATAAGCTCTGTTTGAGAGAGTTTTTTTTTTCTCTTCTGCACCCCACTTTCTCCAAAACCTTGAACTAACTATGTTGTCAAAATTATTCCTGACAAGAGCCTACTCAGCTGATAATTAACTTGTCAATCTCTTATGTCTTCTCTCCCACACAACTTTGTCGTATGATCATTTATTGGAAGATGGCTGCTTCTTTATAATCTGAAATTGGGTCCTAGAGAAAGCTAGTTTTTTAAAGTAACCACCACCACAAAACAAAATGTAGACTTTCTACCACAAAAGTAGGTGAGTCATTACAATACAGGGGATTTTCCCTGTGATTATTGACTGAACACAGATGTTTTTGTTATGTATTGTTTTGCAGGCAGTAATGTCCAGTGACTTCGCAATTTCTCGTTTTAAGCATTTAAAGAAATTGCTGCTTGTCCATGGTCACTGGTGCTACACCCGACTTGCCAATATGATTCTTTATTTCTTCTACAAGAATGTGGTAAGTGTTATTGGCTGACCTGCCAAAGTACTGACAAGCTTAATTTTTCCATGCAACTGGATAGAAAACAGATTTAGGCTACAGCCTTCAATTTGAAATTTTGCTATATTCACTCCATAACTGGGTATGCTAGTAAAGTACAGGACAGACAACGGAAAAGTTCCTGACGCCATCACCATTTATTTTATCTAGGTGGATATGAACATGGTTTGACGCCCTTTCATGTTTATTCCTTATGATAAAAAATCACTTCTCTATTCATAACTTTGTGCATTAGGTTGATTGTGGAAATTTCCACAATTTTCTGTTTTGCCGCAGCATATTTTGCTTTTATCCTAAAAAGTAAAATAGATGTTCGATACATACCTAAAAAGTGAGCACCCTCAGCAACCAAACATATTTGCAATAAGAGATAACAAGGTGTAGAGCTGGATGAACACAGCAGGCCAAGCAACATCAGAGGAGCAGGAAGGCTGACATTTCAGGCCTAGACCCTTCTTTTCTTTGCAGATTTTGAAAGGATTGATTTGCTTTGTGGCTGTTGTTTAGGCTTTTCTCCCCCCACCCAGACGATATCAATTGTAGTTGTGTCTTGGATTGAATTCAGCCGTCTTCTCGATTGACGTGCTTTTACCAAATCTGTGGTTCGCACTTGCTGAGAAAAATAGTACATTTCCCAGTAGGAATTTGTGTACTGGATTTACACTCCTCACAGCAGGTTTTAAGGCTGGGAGATGAGATTACGTAAAACTGCTTAGCCCAACCTTTCCCCTCAACTTACCAGCAGTTAGGTGCGTCTTTTATCTCTGAGACTGCCCCCCCCACCTCAAAGTGCTGAACTGTGAATTAGTGAAAAAGGTAGAGGGTGGGTGGGAGGCACTTCTCCCACGTTTCCTTCATCTCCTATCTCCTATCTCCACCATGCCTCTAAGTTTGAATTTGCTGTTCTGTTTATTCTTTCATGAAATGTGGGCATTGCTGATAAGGTGCAATTTACTGCCCATCCTGAATTGTCCTTGAACTAATTGGCCTTTTCAGAGGTCAGACCCTTTTCCAGAGTCAACCACATTACTGTGGATCTGGAACCACATGTAGACCAAATTGGGTTAGGACAGCAGAATTCCTTCCTGAAAGGTTATTAATGAACCTTTGAAACATAAGAAATAGGGGGAAGAGAAGACTGTTCAGCCAATTGAGTTGCTGCACCATTCAACACGATCCTATCTGATCCTCTGTTTCAGTGCCATACCCTGACTCTCTACACAAAAAGGCCTTTACAAGTTCAGCCTCTAGAAATCTATTTCTTTTTCAAATGTGTTCAGTGCTTTGCCCTCCATAGCCATTTGAGATTGAGAATTCCACAGTTTCACCATTGAGTAAAGAAGGTTCTCCTCTTAGTCTGAAATAGTCTACCATGTATCCTGAGACTGTCTCCCCTCCCCAAAGGGAGCAGTCGGTTCAGTCCTGTCAGAATTTTATTTCAAAGAGCTCCCCCACCCCATCATTCTTCTAATTTCCAGTGAGTAAAATCTGTCCTCATACAACAAACCTGCCATCTCAAGAATCAATCTGGTAAATATGTGCTGCACTCCCTGAATGACAAGCCTACCTTTTCTTAGGTAAGGAGATCAAAATGCACACAATACTACAGATGTGATCTCACCAAGATCCTGTACAGCTTCAACAATACATATTACCTCTTGTACTTAAACCTTTTTGCGATGAAGGCCAACATACCATTTCCTTCCTGCTTGATGCCCCTGCATGCTTGCTTTCGACGTCAACGTGGCATTGACATGCCAATCGTGACATTGACTTCCAGCTCCTGAAGTCACTGTTGCTTACAAGCCTTGGAGGCTTGTGTAGGTAGAATAAAATTAAATGGACCTCTGGTCCACAAGGGAAAAACCACTCAGCACCTACCTTGTAAAGCCCTGTCATTGCAATCATGTTGTACCTGTTTTTTAATACTGTTAATTCATCCACTTTGTTGTGAATAGAGCAATGAACAAAGAACATTGAACCCATGGAAAGGACCTTCGTGATTGATGTGCAACCGAGTCCAATGTTTACCCGGCCATTCCTGCAGATGCGGGGGTCTGCTGGCGGTAATTTTTGTCCTTGCTGGCACTCTGGGCAGTGCTCCACCAAAGCAGCTATGTCTGCATCCAGGCCTGCGCCAGACATAACTTCTCGCAGCATCTTCATTTTGGAGACTCCTGGACAGCCCTGGTGAAGTTCAGCCAGTATTTGGTGGTGACCTTTGCTCAGGACAATCACTCCTGCTCCCCATAGCAATATGCCATCCTCTGCTGTGAGCTGGTCTCTCTTGGGTTCAAAACATTTTCAATTCTGTTTGTGACAGCCATTTGGCTTCCCCCATCACCACCAGTTGTTTCCAGTTTTGAAAGGACTAAATTTTTCTGCATCCAAAGTGTGATATTGTCGGCTATGACTGAAAGTATATTCAGAAAATTTAACACCACTGCAGACTCTTCCATTGAGACCACCACCGGTGGTGTATCTGCCATTGGGAGGTGGCTCAATGCATCCACATTCGCTATGCATCTCCGGAATGGTGTTACAACTTGTAATTATAAGCACTTAGTATCAGAGCCCGCTGCTGAATGCGGCCCAAAGCTATGGGTGGCGCTGTCTTGTCCTCTTTAACTAGGCCAAGTAGGGGTTTGTGGTCCATGATTGTCACAAATTTTAGTTCATAAAGATATTGGTGGAACTTCCTAACTCCAAACATGACTGCCAATCCTGCTTTCTCCCTCTGGGCATTAGCCGTTAGTGCATATGCTATCGGGCATACCTGTCCATTGGGCCACCTGTTAGCTAATACTACCCCAATGCTGTGCAGGGAGGCATCACATGTCAACATCAGATCCCAGATCTTTCTTTGGATCATAGTATGTCAACACCTTAGAGAATGATAGCTGTTTCTTTACTTCACCGAAAGCTAGGGCTTGTCTGTGCGACCATTCCCAAGGCTGACCCTTTTGTAGGAGTTGGTGTAGAAGTGCCAGGATGGAGGCTAGGTTGTGTATGAACTTTCCATGATAACTTACAAATCAAGAAATGGCCTAACCACCTGGATGGAGGTGGGAGCAGGGGCACCTTTGACCACCCTCACTTCTTCCAACAGTTGTAACCCCATCTTGCCGACTGTGTATCTCAGTTTTTATGCAGCCTTTCAACTCGTGCTCTCCTTGAGGCTGAAAATAGAGAAAGGGAAGTGAAAGTGCTCCACCCTCCCCTCCTCAAAGTCCCCTCTCACCAATTCAATCATTCTGCTCTGCACCACAGCGCTTATTATCAAGACAATTAATAGTCTAACGGTCACCATTACCAAAACTACTTTTACATTTCTGAATAATGAATTTAGTCGAAATTTGACATGCTGCCATGATGCAATTTGAATTCATGTCACCACAGTATTAGCATGTACTGCCGGATTACTAGTGCAGCCATTACCATTTTGCCACCATATTCCTGGCAAGTGTACTTTCAAATTGATTAACAGTCATTCACCTTTAAGGGCTATGGTTTGGCCTTTCTTCTGCTTGACAGACTCCCCATCTGATATTTTAACTGGGGTCAGAAACCACAGTGCACCAGAAATTCCAGCACCGTGATTTTGTGTTCATTTCAAAAGCTGTAGTTTTGAGGCAAGTATAAAAGTCATGACTGTGTAACTATAGTACAAGCAGTCCTAGGGTTGCAAACGGATTCAGTTCTGCAGTCCATTCACAAGTCGAATTGAATGCAAGTCAGACACAATAAAGGACAGTGTAAAGCAACCATTTGTAAATACAGGAAATCTTTGTTGGTTGGGTCTTCAAAACTACATTCCTGTATGGGATTGTGTTTGTAAGTATGAGCGTTTGTAAGCCAGATGTTTGTACATTGGGGACCCTTGTACATTTTACAAAGAAGGCATGTGAACTTTTAAAATGGTCCCAGCAGCTTAAATGTGACTGTCAGGAGTCACATGACTATCCATGTTAATTATCTTCAGTCAGAAAGTCTTGTATGTTACCTCGTTAACAACTACAAAAGGAGCCATCCATAACTCAATTAACATGGTGTCTTTTGAAAGGGTGTGAAAATTCAAAATCTGCTGAAGAAAATCAGGGGATTAAAAGTGCTTCCATTAAGGATTCTGCATAATTGAATTTGCTTTGTGGGGCAATAATTCATCAAAAGTTAACATTGCAGCTATCTTCAGTTTGATCTGTACAAAACCATCGATAAAATTCCAAGATGACCCCTGAAAGACAAATCCTCAGAAAAAGACTTCTTACCCAGAGAGTGCTCAAGAAAAGGGCTTTCAAAACTAACTTTCGTTCTGCTAAGAATCCAGGCAATCTGCAAGTGTCATAACCACATAACTTCCGCCTCGTGCTCCCACGAGGAGCTCGAACAGTTCATACACTTCACTAACACCTTCCACCCCAACCTTAAATTTACCTGGACCATCTCTAACACCTCTCTCCCCTTCCTGGACCTCTCTGTCTCCATATCGGGCAACCACCTCGAAACCGATATTCATTTCAAGCCCACCGACTCCCACAGCTACCTAGAATACTCCTCCTCCCACCCACCTTCCTGCAAAAATGCTATCCCCTATTCCCAATTCCTTCGCCTCCGCCGCATCTGCTCCCAGGATGAGGCATTCCACTCCCGTACATCTCAGTTGTCCTCGTTTTTCAAGGACCGTAACTTCCCCTCCTCGGTGGTCGAGAACGCCCT